GCATTGCAAATAGTTTTTATTACACCAGAGCAAATATTTTCTTGTTAATCTTCGCCAAAAAATGCTCACTTCCATGTGTATTCAGAATTCAACTAGTAAGTGGTTTAGGGTAGGGATCCCAGAATTTAAGAAAAGGTGCAGAGAATACACTTCTCATAGTATGTCACACAGATTTTAGTTTTTGATTAAAAAAAACCTAACAAGGTGTTTGTACAAATATTGATGTTCTGTTTCTGCTTACACTGGGAAAACTAATGGAGCTATAACAGCCCATACTTTCTGGCATACTTAGTGTGACACTACTTAGAACACAGCTGTCATGCAAAATCGGAGTTCCAAGGATTAGGCCACCCACCTATAAATATTTGCTATTCATGTGTTGTATAATAGAGCAAGAGCAACATATTTCATATTCTCAGTGCATAAAGAACTCTTATACTGTGTATTCCAAAATATTACATGATGTTAGTCAGTATTCATGATCACTGGTTTTTATTCATTCCATGAAAGTGTATAATACATGTAATATAATGCATACAAGACAAGTGAAACATCACAAAAAACCTTTTCTATGTTTATCATAACAACATTTGCTTAACCATTTACGGGTGTCGAAAGAGGAGTAATCTTCCATTATGTGAACCGTTTATCTTCAGTCATTCCCTTTTATTCCAGGGTCAAGTGCTTGACACGTTAAATCCCAGGCGTCCCAGACTCAGCAGTGTCTTGAGTTGCTTAACCACCATGACGCCTCAGAGCATAGTTGGGTAATTCGGTTACTGACGTGGCAATGACAATGTAATAACTTTGTAATGACAATAAGAGAATAGGTAATAGTGGGTTCATTCATTGACATGTGGTTTGATTGATTAGTATTTCCAAACAACAGCTAAATTCAACCTAACTAGTAGCTAGTGTCGAAATCCCTTCCACCGTTCAGATCTCGAACCCGAAGCCCTCCCAATGAGAGGGACTGCAGGGACATCAATTAATGCCCTGAACCCGAATTGCTATATGTGTATGGCATACCTGAGTCTCCATTTGTTCTATTGCATCTCCCATGCGACATGGACCTGCAGTTAAAATGATTGCCTCACCATCTTCCGAAACAAATTCTTGTAATTCTGTGGAGCTATCTGCATTTTCAGTCTGTAAAACCACATCCATAATAAAAGAATTACTGTTTATTCCATAATTAAGACTATTTTTCTACACTAACAATAAATACATTAATAATGCTTACCACTGTTCTTTTCTATTTAACACATTAATTAATTTTTATCCTGCAACTAACTTTATGCAGCTCGTGTAACATCTGTTTGATTGTGACTTCATTTCACCTTCACAGGGTATTGAGTATTAGTTAATTAAAAATATATTGGGAATTATTTACCACAACAAGAAAAACACAACCCTGCCATTCCTATATGAAACTAAACTTTCTAAAAGAAGTTTCTAAAGTTAAGAGAATGTTGTTTAATAGCCTTCAGTATAGCATGCGATGAGCACATTAGTTGTACCAAATACAACAAATATGCTTGTTGCTTGCTATACTGAAGTACAAGTTTGAAACCCAAAGTGCATAAAAATTTTGCAAGTTCGAGTACTATTATGTTACAACTGTTACGAATAATGCAAGAACTTATGTGCTGCTGGAGTACTACTAGTTTGCTTTTTGATAGGAATTAGGCAGTTTTATACATTTTTAATCAAACTTTACGAACAATGAATTGCCTCAGATGCCTCAAAACAAGAATCTTACAAATATAACGCCAAAAAAAAAAAAAGTTTTAAAAAGTATAAAATTACCAGCCAATTAAAATAATTATTATCCCTAAAGAATTTAATATCATTTTGAAAGTTAGTAGTGATTATTAACAAATTTAAAAAAATTATACTCTTTTATTAAAATTATAAAACCTTAACTTGTTATATGCAAGAATCAAAGGACCGAACAAAATTTATTCTATATATGTGTGTGTTTATTTATATATATATATATATATATATATATATATATATATATATATATATATATATATATCTCAATAACTTATTGTTTTTCCAGCTATTAGTGGCATTTCGAATTCCTATTATATTACAGAACATATTTTGAAATAATATTACCAGCATGTGTTACTTCCAAGTGATGTCAAAGAACAAGTTTAATGAGAGTGGATTAAGTATGACCATTTCTATTTCATTCAAATGTGCTGAAAAATTGAATGAATTGTGAGAGCATTTCCCTCCTCCATACTGAAACTAATTAAGCAACAACAACCAGCAAAAATCTAATCAAAAGGAAAAGCGGTTAAGTGCCATTAACTTTCAGAATATATCTGCCATTTCTTTTTGTTTCACACCTTGCCATTTACATCACCCAGAGTCCAACAGCCTTCATATTTTTGTTGCAGGACATCATGAGTTTTCTTGGACTATTTATTGCTAGGATAACACCAATAACTTACAAGGAAACAAAGAATAAGAATCATAATGCTTATATATTTATGGCACTACTATTACAAAGGTTGTTTCATAATGAAAATGATTAATTAATGAAATGGTAGGGAAAAAAAAGAGGAAAGAAGGAATAAAGAAGTAATGTGAGTGTTAGTACCTTAATACTGCAAACTCAAGATAATTCAATTAATTTTTGCAACTGATTAAATTGATTGCGATTTTGTATTAATCACAAGACTTTAGGACAGAAATTAGAGAACCTACATTAAAAGAATAACCAGAATTTATGACTTTCGGCGACCTGTTTCCCTGACAATATAACATAACGCTATAATGGAATGGTATCCTGATTTTGAGAGACAACCAAAACCCATTGGACATAACAACGTATTTATTTGCATATAAACAGAGGGGCACCCCAAAGTTTTCTCGAGGTGGGGATAATGATATAGTGTCCAGACAACTGTTTTCTGATAAAGAATTTTTCAAGTATTAAAATTCTACAACCGACGAAAAATAATTTCTTATTAAAATAATTAACAGGTTTTAGATTATAAAAATGAATTCAAAAGTAACAGTTTAAAAGTTGAAGAAAAGTACTGAATCATTGTTACAATATAGACAAACTAAAAGCATAAGAACAACAAACAAATGAAAGAGCCATTAAAAAATTTTAAAAATAAAATAAAAGAAACAGAAGAAAGACTACTTACCAGACTAAAAATTAATGTCATTCTTATTATGAAAAAACAAGTTCCCAATCTCCCATAATAAAATTATAAAATTTTCTGCACCAGTCTGAGTGAACTGGGCCCTGTTAAAGTGTCCAAGGATAAGGGGAGAGAGTGATTTCAATAAGTATAGAATGAGTTCAGTTGAGTGAGGGGGTGGAGGAGAATGAAGGTATATAAAGAAGGGAGGTGGGTGATGAATACACAAGAAAGATTATGGATTAGGTAACAGAGGACTCTGTATTTATTTCAACATTTTTAAATTCATGTTAAATTAGCAGTATGATATGATGCTGGATTATGACAATATGCAATACATGATGCTTGTAAGATAATTAACTAAATGAAGTCAAAAATAGTCTTAATCAATAAAACTAAAAAGAAAAAAATTTTACACAATATACCTGAAGGGAGTGATGTACATATTAAAAACACACTTAAAAGTTAATTTATTATACTAAAGAAATGAATACTGAAACTTGTAGGTGCACCATTGAAATTGTAACAACTATTACTGCATTATTAAAATCTATAAGAGTTTAATTTTAACTTCAAGAAGTTAGGTAGTCTACCCAGTTTCAGAAAATAATGTCAGTAGAGATTATTTTTTATGCATATATATAGAAAGTAAGTGAATAAAAGATAACTCACTCAATCTTTGAGCAAGAGAAGAAAAGTCTAAAACACTTCTTTCATTGATAAACATCAAACACAAGAAAAATAAACCATTGGGGGGAAAATTAAGCACAAAACGTGTACTAAAAAGATGAGTTAAAAATAAATATATAGTAAATCAGACAAGATATATGAGCAACAACAAAAGGATACAGAAAACAGCAATAGTTAATATCCCTAAAAGGTGCAGATGTCTCTTAATAAATTTTAAAATATCATCTGCCTCCTCTAATATATGCCCCGTCTATACACCATCAAAACCATTAACAAAGCACCAGAACAAGTTCATAGTCTTCAGCTTTTCTAATTTGTCCTCACAAGAAATATTGTTGTATGCATGTTCAGAGGAAAAATTGATTTTTTTTTATTTAAACCTTAGAGACAAAATATTTGTGGTCAAGTGGAATAGTTATGATTTGAGACATATGACAAAATAAAGCCAATATTATTGCTAATACTCAAACGGAAAATTGAATAACATTACATATTTAAAAAATCTAATTCCAGGCAGAAGCTTTGTAAGAAATTTCCACATGTAATTTTCTGATTACTTAAATAAATAATGCTTGTGAAACAAAATAAAATGACATTATTTTCCTACAAAAACGTCCCAGTTATTGATTACAGATTAATTACCTAATACAGGAAATGAGCTACAGAAAAACACATAACAGTGATTTTCAGATTAAAATCATGCCAACACTTTCAAATCAACCATAAAACATGAAACAAAACTTAAAACTTACTTTGCAATTTCATTTCGAGATATAGAATAGTCAAAAATGTAATTTAATAAGTACTAGCGTTGAATTTTGGGGAACCAACAACATTTAAACAATATCAATATAAATAACTAGACAACTATTCTTCAGTTAATCTTAAGCATACCTTGAAACGAGTCAGAGGTAAACCCTTCACTTTCTTCCTCCACGCTGTTCGGCACTTGGAATCCATATTCTGTTTAATTCTGTACCAATCCCGTTCCGTAATATTGAACTTATGTACTAAATGACATCTTATACCGTATATCTTCATGGTAGTCAATTGTAATGGAAAGAGAAAGTGAAAAAGTAAATATATTTAAAATTCATAAAAGAAAATTGAAATATTGCACAAAGTGAAAGTATGTAATACCATTAAAGGATCCAGCTGCCTTTTTCCATGTTTGCCTTTCCCTGATAAATTGGATATAGCTAACACTTCTCTTGAGAACAGATAATCAAGCAAGGTCACAGCCATTTTTTCTGGAGTTTGACAAAATGTATTTATATGAAGTAAATTCCTGCAATTTTAATTACATAAACTGTAGGGTAAGGCAAATACATAAACAAAAATATAAGAAATAATAGTACTGAAATTACAAATCATTACTCACGGAGGAGATATGGGGCACCGTACTCTTAATTCTGGATTGGTTTCATCTCCAAGCCATGAACCATCAGGGTAATCTGATTCAGAATTTAATGTGATTACTTGAACAGTAGAATCCAAACACAAAGAAGCACTAACTTGTGCTGGTTTGTTATTTCTTATAAGAACAATTGGCGATGCTGGACTGCAAGCAAAAACACAATTGCAAATTGATTACCATGAAAATAATTCATATTAATTTCTCTTCAAAACATAGTTTAAAATTTCTCTTTACAACATACATATCTGAACTGCTTTCCTCAATATTATTCAAACTGCCCGAAGATCGATTCCCTACAGAAATTGTTTTCAATAGATTCTCAACACTATTGATTTTTTTCAAAACTTCTTCACAACATTGATGACGATGATTTTCACATCTTGTCATACTATTTACAACTTTTTCTAAAGCGTCCATTCTCTGCTCAATCCTTTGATATGATGAAGATATATTTCCAACATCTCTCTGAAGAGTACAAAAAGACTGGTTCATAGACACTTTCAAATCTGCTACATGCTGACAACACGTTTCAATTGCAGTGAAGAGAGACATATTTACTCGCTTTGGCACAATCTCATGTGCCATTCCTAAGAAGACACACTTTTATGCAGAATATTTTATCCGAACCTGAAAAAGATAAAAAGTCTTTTAGAATACTACACAATACTTGAAATCAATAACTGCCACAGTATTATATACAATACGAAAATAAATACATAGGACTAAAGAAGTAAGGTTGTCCACAGTCAATTCTGACGACAGCTTAACAATATATGCCCACATTTGAGTGTTGTATTTCAAAACTAATGTTTAGTATTTCACAAACAAAGCTTTTCACCAGGTAGACGAAATATGAGAATAATTTACAAAGAAAATAATGTACTCTACTGAAAATATTATACAAACACATATAATACTTCACTTCTTTCTTCAAACTCCCCTCGTTCTATTGCAGATCACGTAAATTCACGCGTTTAGCGATGAAATGGCGTACGCCCAGAGAGTACCAAGCGACAAGGCATCTTGCATATTCAGTCAGACTACCAACACACCTCAGCAGTCTTCAGTTGAAAATAATATCAGAGCAATTAGCGAATAAAGGTCGATAAAAATACCCAAACCCTTTTCTGACAAAATAAAATGTACAGTAATTTTTGTTTCACTGTACTAGGGTTGTTTCAAATTTCATGTTGGTCTCCGATTTTCGTCTGGCAACGAGTAAATGTGTCACTCTACTATACTTTCTTGTAATGAAGATAAAAATAATTAATTAATAAACTCACACAAAAAATAAATTCTTCCGGTGTACAATGATCTCTATATTTTACTGAATAGACAATTGCTAACGAGACGGCAGCTTCAAAGTGGTTTATTGAAGTCTATGAAAGTGTCCTGCTGAAGGAGGCCACCATAGTAAATTATGCAGTAATTTTGGGGCACACAGCGGGAAATTTAACATGTTGTTATATTTAAATTAACATATTTTCTACGAAATAAAAATGGTTAAAGTTTTAGGCTTTAATTCATTTCATTTCGTGTTCACAATGTGTTGTAATTTTAGCACTCTCTATGTTCATTTTTATTTTTTCGACAAGCTACGTAATTACGTAGTAAAGAGAAAATACTGTAATGCTACGGCAGAAATCGGCGATTTTTCAACAAAAAAACTCATATGGCAGGGTCCTGATAGAGAAAAAGTGAATCAATATTGTTCCTAAATGTAGTAAATTGGGTCCTGTAGCACATTGAGAAATTTGATTCCGCGTGTCGTGGGTCATTGATTTGGAAACATTTGTTGACGGCGAAAAAACAGCTCTTCTGTCTATAGTTACCTAGCACCTAAACCGTTCAGACACTTATCCACGGTTCCTTTCTATGAAAATCAGTAATCAGGGGAATAAAAATCTTCCAAATGACTGAGAGCTGAAAATGGTGAGCTGTGATAAAAAGCGAGCTCTGACACTGGGGGGGTCCATAAATTAGTACTGTAGTAGTTCTTGGTGGTGAATTAAAACGCACGCGGGTAAAATTTAAAAACAACGTTTATTCGTAACCAATTATACACTAAAACTACTCCATTTATTTACAGGTATATTACACACTTCTGGAGCTCTTCACTTCATTATTTTTCCATGACTCCGTTCTCTTGATTATTTATTTACACAGTTCACTTCTTCTACACTATTTATTTATACTGTTCTCTGCAATCTACACTATAGAACAGTCCTATGCACTGTCCACGGTCCACTGCGCTGCCTCCATTTCCCTGCGCAGACCACACTTCACTGCACTGACACCAATTCACAGCGCAGACCACAATTCACTGCGCAGACCAGGGTCCACTGCACTGCTTTTTACCGCGATTCACACTTCACAGCTCAGCTTCCACTGCAGACTTCAGACTGCTGACTGCTGTTCACCCACTACCCCACTGTTCACCGCAATGCACACTTTACAGCACAGCTTTCACTTCACACATACTGACTGCTTACTACTGATTACATACACTGACTGACTCGCGGCTGCTTACTTCCGAGTGACTGACTCGCCGTGCAGTACAATTGTGCAGTTTTGTGAACGCACGAAAAGTGCAATGTACGTTCACGCCACCGCGGTGGGACCATTCCTACCCTTACGGGTATCTATGATCAATCCTGCAACATGAAGAAAAACAAGGTTAAAAAATTACTTTAGCCTACCGGCGCGCGCATTGCGTGCTTTGAAATACTACGTTTATGCTTCAGACTCATTTCTGTTTCTGAGTGCTCTTACTCCAGAAAGTGCTT